TCGATCTGATTGTCAGGCAGAGTGATGTTGATGTTAGTGAGAGGGACCCTCAGGGGAGGGATAATTGAGGCCTTGCTCATGTTAAGATTTCTTAACTGGACCCGTCCAGTGGATTCTGAATGATGAATATTATTTAGCTTGAGTTTTTTTTTTTTGCTCTTTGTGTCACACCCAGTGATGCTCAGAAGTTACCCCTGTCTCTGCACCCAGGAATCACTCCTGGTGGTGCTTGGGGAACCATATGGGGTGTCGGGGATCAAATCCAGGTCGGCCGCATTGCCCTACCCGCTGTGCTACCGCTCCAGCCCTCTAACTTGAGTTTTTCTCTCCCATTGAATAACAAAATTTGGGTATCTTCTGTAACTTCTATGTTACACGTAGAAGAAAGAGTAGAATACTGTGGGATTAATGTACTAAAATAGATATGGGGGAATTGGTTATCCATATAATCCCAACAGTCTGGAATATGTAATTTGTAGTTTACTAATGATAAAATAATCATTTAATTTTTCTTGATAAATAAGTGGAAGCAATTTTTTTGGCTTCAGGTAATACTGTTACAATAATACTAAAATGAATCTGAGGACTGAGGTTGTTGTTTTCAAAGCTGTAAATGATTTAGGCCAGTAAAGGAAATAGAATTTGAGGTAGAAAATGAAAGCTTACTGATTGTAGGTCACAGAGAATCCGCAGGGTTTTGGATTTAGAGAAAGCCTTAAAGATAATACATATCCTCTGGCATTAGGTAATCAGTATTTTCAGGTGTGCAATATTTGTAGTTAAATAGCATCAAGATACTTGGCAGCAGCGAGATTCTTACATCTTTTATAAAGAACATTATTCACTTCGATTTTTATTGGCAAAGAACTGAATCAGGTTTATTTTGTACATTTAAATAGTTAAATTATTCTAACCATCCTTCAAGTCATTATAGTTGTGTGGTGTGTGTGTGTGTGTTTAATATCCTTTGCTTAAATCTCACATGCTCATTGGACTCATTTTGTTTACTTACCTCATGACAAACCACAGCAAGTGTCAAGGAGACAAAAGAGACGAAGAGGTCCTTGACCCTGAAATCTCATAGCCACAGGAGAAATGAACATCTCTCTATCCATTATTCACACTCGCAGTAATGCAGGGGGAGAGTGCTTTGCTGTCAAAGGGTTCAGCTCTCCAGTAAAGTGGAGAAAGAAGCATTATCTTAAAGAAAAAGTTTAAGTCTCAGTGGAGGAGCAATAAGTGTTTGTCAGGCGAGGCTGAGGGGTCTGGTATTGAAGACCAATAAACAGCTTAGTGTGGACGGGCCTTCCTCAAGAGAGGAGGTTAAATAATAGTAAACTTGGGAGGGTGGAAGCTTAAGTCTCAGAGTATGCTGCCAAGGAATTTGGAATTCATGTCATTAGTAAATCCTAGGGCTACTGTAAGCATGCCAACTAGCTGGAGGATGGATGGGAAACATTTCCATTTAAGAGAGGTTCCTGTGGTAGCAGTGGAGAGAGTCGAAGGTGGCTGGCGACTTTTCCTGAGTGGAACACAGGGACAGCTGCCAGGACGCTCTTGCCAGAGTGCAGGTGAGGGCGAGCAATTCTAAACAAGGACAGTAGGCAAGGAATGTAACATAGGATTATAGGAAGGGGATTTGAAAGATACAGAATTGCGGGGGAGGTATTGGGAATGAGATGGTTATGAGGTTTCTGGTGTCTGTGGAGATAATATGTTTTGATGTGAAGTGTCAGGAGGTTGTGGGCTCACATTCCAGTTTGGATAGGTTACCTTTATTTATTTGCTTGGAGATGCTCATTGATGTTCTTCACTACCTGTTGCATGAATGTTCCTGTTTGGCAAACTAAGTTTTATGTCTGGGATGCTATAACCCTAAATTTATATGTTAAAATTATTGAGAATTCCAGGCCCTCCAAACAACTTACTAAATCCTACCAAATAGGAACAGTTTGCTTTTAAGTAGCAGGACAATCCTGTACTTTCTTTGGGGACAAGGAATTCTGCTTTTAGTCATTTTTTCTGTACACATAGTGATTGTCCAAGTAAAGTTAAAAATACAGAAGGATGAGAAATTTTAGGGACAAAGATAGTAGGAAACTTGGAATCTGATGTGAATGTTTATTACATAAAATATTATTGTATTTTGTACTCTATTATTGATGATCTCTTTCATCTTCATAAGAGTCTATGAAGTGTAAGTAGTATTTTTGCCATCATACCAGAACTTAGAAGGGTTGATTTAGTGACTGAGACCACATGGAAGAGTTGGAAGTTGAATCTCAGATGAAATTAAATTAGGATTCCAGAAATTATGCTTAATTTCCGTACTCTGTTGTGCCCCCAAACATCTTCCTATATAATACATATTACTATGCATCTGATCTAAATCAGACTTTCCACAGTTTACTCTGGAAAGACCTAGTCTCTTATGGCATCCTACTTGTTTGGAAATAATTGCTGGACTGACCCTACTTTTAAAATGTTAAGTTTATGATGATTTCCTGGGTCGTGAGACAGGGTTTGGAACACAGGGATAGAGCTAGGGAGTAATAAAAGGAATTCCTGTGGCTATTTTCTGGTGGCATGAGTTTCCTATTGCTCTCCTTGTGCTTTTAAAATGCTTATTTAAAACTGTGGTTGGTCAGGAAGGTTGTTACTCTTCTCTCAGCTCTGCAGGATAGATCTCCTCTGTCCTTGACCTCTTTTCAGTCTTAGAATCAGGGAGCAGAAAATGGTGTCATTACCATTGACCTGAATGAGTGGTAGTCCTTGTGGTCTGAGTGTACTCTCGCTAGTATTGAACTAATTTTCTTTCGGTTATTTATTTGTATGTTGGTGTCCCCGCATGTGACGGCAGAACTTGTCTTAGCATCTTTGCATGTGCAGTATCTAGCTCAGTTTGTTGGAACGGAGTCTGCTTCAACATATGCCAAAAGACAGGGGGATGTCAGCTCTGTGGACCTGCCATCTCTTTAGCACACATTCTGTCTCATCTCTGCCATCCTCACACACAGATGGTTGTAGGCTGGCAGCTTGTAAGCGTAGCATGAGTTTAAATATATTGTCACTAGGTCCGGCCTGTTTTCTTTCCATGGAAAGGTGTTAGTGATTTTGAGCTTCTTGCCCCAGTTTACCACTTTTCTTCCAAACACAGGCTGGAAAATTGCAATTGTGCACATAAACATACTAAGGCGACGTTATGAAAAACATATACAAATTCTTGTGCATGAAATCTTATGAGGACTTGAAATACGGAACTTCTGAAGACAGTAATTAGTAATGGAAGAAGAAAACATGTCTTTAAATTAATTGCACCAAAGTTTTTTTAACCAGTCATCTGTTCTTGGGCACTCAGGTTTTTTCCAGATTCTGGCTATTGTAAAGAGTGCTGCAATGAACAAACAATTGCAGATGTCACTTTGACTATACCTTTTTGCCTCTCTGGGATATATTCCCAGGAGTGCTATAGCTGGGTCAAATGGCAGATCAAATTCTAATTTTTTGAGAGTCGTCCATACTGTTTTCCAAAAGGGTTGGACCAGCCGGCATTCCCACCAGCAGTGAAGGAGGGTCCCTTTCTCGCCACATCCGCGCCAGCACCGGTTGCTTTTGTTCTTGTGGATGTGGGCCAGTCTCTGTGGTGTGAAATGATATCTCATTGTGGTTTTGATCTGCATCTCTCTGATGATTAGTGATGTAGAGCATTTTCTCATGTGCCTTTTTGCCATTCGAATTTCTTCTTTGCGAAAGTTTCTGTTCATTTCCTCACCCCATTTTTTGATGGGGTTGGGTGATTTCTTCTTGTGGAGTTTAACCAGTACCTTGTATATCCTTGATATCAACCCCTTGTCGGATGTGTACTTGGTGAATATCCTTTCCCATTCTGTAGGCTGTCTTTGTATTTTGGTCACTGTTTCTTTGGAGGTGCAGAAGCTTCTTAGTTTAAGATAGTCCCATTTGTCTATCTCTGTTTTCACTTGCTCAGCCAGTGGCGTGACATCTTTGAAGATACCATTAGCTTCAATATCATGGAGAGTTTTGCCGACTTTGTCTTCAATAAACATTATGGATTCTGGTCTGATGTTGAGGTCATAAATCCATTTTGATCTTACTTTTGTGCATGGTGTTAGGCAGAGATCTGAGCCCACTTTTTTGCATGTAGCCGTCCAATTTTGCCAGCACAGTTTGTTGAAGAGGCTTTCCCTGCTCCATTTCACTTTTCTTGCCCCCTTATCAAAAATTAGATGATTATATGTTTGGGAGGAAATGTCAGTATATTCAACTCTGTTCCATTGGTCTGCAGCTCTGCTTTTGTTCCAGTACCATGCTGTTTTAATTATTACTGCCTTGTAGTAGAGTTTGAGGTTAGGGAGGTTGATTCCTCCCATTTTCTTTTTCCCAAGAATTGCTTTAGCTATTCGCGGGGGCTTATTGTTCCATATAAATTTCAGGAGTGTTTGCTCCATTTCTTTGAAGAATGTCATGGGTATCCTTATAGGGATTGCATTGAATTTGTATAGTGCTTTGGGAAGTATTGCCATTTTGATGATGTTGATTCTCCCCATCCATGAACAGGGGATATTTTTCCATTTCCTCATGTCCTCTTTCATTTCCATTGTGCACAAATTGGCAGGATAATGTTGGGGTTCTCCCACCTCGTCTTCCTCCTTCCCTTCTCACTGTGCCTTTCCAAATAGGATCCAGGACACTGCGGGATCTACAAGTCCTTGGCTTTTGCCATTGTAAAACCCTCTACTGCATGACGACAAAGATTTGTGTGACTGAGTTGCCTTATGGTTCATTTAAAGTAGAAGAATGTTCCTTTAGGTTGCACTATGTGACTTACCCTTGTATTGAGGTAGATTGCTAAGAAATGGCATTCTGTAGACACCAAAGGTCAAATAGACACATTTTGCATGGTCAGCCCATTGTTCAAACTCGGTCAGTTTGCTTTGAATTTTGCTTTTGATTATTGTGTATTTTTTTTCTCTTTCCAGCAATCGGGAGCAGTAGTAGCTTCAGCCCTCGACCGGCACACCAGTTTTCCCCACCGCAAATTTATCCTTCCAAGTAAGATATATTTTCTCTTAATCAATAGCTTTTCTAAGTAGCATTTTACCTCACTTCAAGTCATGTCTTGTGCCCACATGTTGTAATTTAACTAAAAGTGTGTTTTTTATAGCGATTTAAATGTATTTACAAATTTAGTTTGAGCATCATCTACTAGAGTCCTAGAAGTATTTGGTACTTGGTAGAATCTACTTGAACGTTATGCATTAAGAGACGATCTTAACTTGGACTTTGTGATATGGTTGTGAATCGGTTACCTTGCATGTTTCCATCTAATGCATGGGCTTTCTATTTTCTGTCATTTCTGACAAATAGCAGACCATACCCACATATTCTCCCTACCCCTTCCTCACAAACTATGGCTGCATATGGGCAAACACAGTTTACCACAGGAATGCAACAAGCTACAGCGTATGCCACGTACCCACAGCCAGGACAGCCGTATGGAATTTCCTCTTATGGTGAGTCATCCCTTTCTGAGTAATGACTTTGTCTAGTGGGCAGCCCCATATGTGTGAGTGTTTCCTAGGTGTGGCCCTTTAAGACCACCTATTCTGGGCTACTTTTTTGAAAGTGCTACTTCTGTCTGTATCAATTCTTAACACGATTTGCTGCTAATGTAGATGATGAGACCCGGGTTATTTATCTTGAAGGCAAATAGATAGCCTGGTATCTCTGCACCCTTACTCTCTCCCCAACCCCCGCATTAATTTCTCAACTCTTTATTTGCCATTTGAGCACTTGGCTCTGGCATCCTAAGTATTTTGGTGCATATTTGTGATAAAACTTCTGTGAATAAAGTCTTTTGGGGTAAAGATTCATTTCCTATTTATCAGATGCCGACCTGTGATTAGGGGAGTTCAGACAGAACTCAACAAACCCTCGCTCTAATACCTACCGAGGGCGGCAGTGTTATCAAATTTCAGCATTATCAACCATTAGGAAAAGTGATCTATATATCATGGGGTGAGCTATGCTGTAAAGAGGCAAATCAGGAAACATTGAAAGCTCACATCCCATTTGTTCTTCCCCACCTGGAGATTATCTTTATCTTGGTGTAATCGAACTCAATTGTTAATAGACTCAGTACCTGCAAATTAAAAATAAATCCAGGAAAACCCCAACGCTTAGTATTTTAAAACCTTGAAATTTCAAAATTCTCTTTCTTCACTTGAATTGCAGCTTTTTAAAAAAAAATACATTGCTATTTGTTAGAATAGAAAAAATACCACTTATTAAGAAAAAATAATACATCAATTTGCTCGAGCGGGCCCAGTAACGTCTCCATTGGAGACTTTGTTGCTACTGTGTCTGGCATATCGAATACTCTCGGTAGCTTGCGGGGCTCTCCGAGAGGGGCGGAGGAATCAAACTCGGGTCGGCCATGTTGGCTGCGTGCAAGGCAAACGCCCTACCCGCTGTGCTATCACTCCAATTAGAAAAAAAAGCATGTGGCGGTTTGGGAGTTAGGGAGAATAAATGTGATTCTTGCACAGAATTATATTTTTATAATAAATACTCTCACCGGGCATCCCCTGAAAAAATTATTTTGTAAGTTTCTTTCATATAGTATGTTGAAAATGATATTCTATGAGCATTTCATTAATAAGATTGCATGTCACTTTACTACTTTTCATTCTTTCTAGAGCCCAAATCATATTGACTTGATAAATGTCTTGCAAAATACAAAGAAATTAAAATATAAATGATATTTTCACCCCTTAGAGTTTTATTACAAAGGTATCAGAACTGAATGCTTATAGTCTAGGTGTTTTCAAGTCAGACTTTATAAACAACCCTAAAATGGATTTCTAGAATTACCTTTTATAGGTCCATAACTTTTACTCAGAGTATTAGCTATGTCTAAAATGTATCTGTAATTTACTTTTAAACAACGTGTTTACTAAAAGAAGAAAGAATCAGTGAATTAAATGGCATAGCTTAAGTTCATAATGTAAGTGAAGTCAGTTAATTGTAAACTGATCTTTTAAAGAATAAGTGGATTTTTCCACATAAACAGTACTAAAATATTGTAGGCCAGCATTCTACCACCTGTCTGCAGGTGTAAAATGAGTTGAAGGCTACCAGTCCACCACTCCTGGCCCGTGGACAAGATACAGGAGAAGTGGTAGCCACAGGTGTGAAAATGTTAAACAGGGCAAGGCACCTTCTCCCCCCCCCACACACACACAACTGTTCTCTCCTTTCACTTTCCCATTCAGCCATGGTAGACCCTCTTCCAGTTACTGGGCTCTGGGTAGGAATTATTCCAGTTCTAATCTATTACTACATATCCCTGTTGTCTGAAATAGTTATTTCAAAAGGCTGAGACTCATGAGTGTTTGAAAATAGAATCAGAATAAGAGGGAGGTTTTAGCGTGCTCAGTAGGGGTCAGTAAGGTAGAACAAGGATGACTTGCTGTCAGAGGCTTTGGTCCTCTAATGTTCCATGCTTAGAGATCTTCTGGGTATGGCTCTAGGTCCTCAGCATTCCTTTTCTTTGGGGGCCTTGAAGACAAGACAATATACACACAATACTACTGAGCTGGCATTCTATTTTTCTTGGGCCAGTAGATTGAAAAAAAATATGTAGACTTCTCCCCAAATCTTATCCATGAAAACAGAGTCCATTCTTTAGGATTTGTTTTATTTTGTGTTTTGCTTTTGGGCCACACCTAGCTGTGGTTAGGACTTATTCCTGCTTCAGTGCTCAGAGGCCATTTCTGGCACTTTGTGGGAGATAGACTGTCTAAAATCTCAGGGATTGGGGCCGGAGCCATAGCAGAGCAGGTAGGGCATTTGCCTTGCACCCAGCTGATCAAACCTGGGTTTGATCCCCAGCATCCCATATGGTCCCCTGAGCACTGCCAGGAGTAATTCTTGAGTGCAAAGTCAGGAGTAACCCCTGAGCATTGCTGGGTGTGACCAAAAAAGGAAAAACAAAGTCTTAGAAGATTTTCTGCATTGAGCTGTGCCCAATAAATTATAACTCATACTCTATAAGAGAAGATAAGCAAATATTTTCTTAGTTGATGGATCGGAGGGAAAGAACTTGTCTGTTCTGCTTGGAATCTACAAGTGAGTTTGCCAGGTTGAGGAAGAAGTCAGAGGTCATTCTGCTTGTGTTCTCTGTTTCTTCATAGTTTACATTATCCTAATCACAAAGTTTTGTGTCCTAAACTGCCAGGGTCCAAACAGAAGTGGTCCAGGTGTAGACTGGAAGCAGATTCTAGAGCCTGAGAGAGTAGCGGGGAGTCATTATCAATGAGAGTGAGAAAGTCATACATATGCATTCATTGCTTGACTTGTTTGACACGTGTCTGTATTATTCATTGCTTTGATTGGTTTGCGAGTATATGGGGAAAACACATTTTAAAAAACATTAAGGCTTAACTTCTGAGGTTGTTATGGAGTTATTTAGAGATACTGGAGGAATTAGAGAGGGTTATCCCAGCCAAGAGTCAGATTTTTCTACTGCCTGAGGAAAGTTACCTAACTTCATTCTACCAATGAAACTCCCCTAAAATGGAAATAAACAGTGAGACTACTGTGTATTCTAGATCCCTAAGATATCATTTATCTTAAGTGCAAAGTCAAATTATTCAAAAATGTGAATTCCCTTGGCAGAAATTTCCTTCCCGGCTTTCTGTGGGAATTTAGGGCAGTTGTTAACATTCATGGCTGTCTTTAATTATGATCCTGGGCTGAGCCCTTTGCAATACTTCCAAATCCAGGTCCTGAAATAAGGGTGTCAGCCCAATGCTTTGGACAGTATTTTTGACCACAGATACATTATTATTTATTGATATGATAAAAAAGCAAGTATTCTTTACATTATGCTTCAAACAATAATAGTTGAATTAATAATTGAAAACACAACGGACAAAAGAAGTATTGGTCAGCTTTGCCTGTTTACAAATCACTATGGTATTCTACAAGATTAAGAACTTAAATATTGTGTCTGTTGTGGTTACTTTCTGGTATAATATAAATATTTGTGACAAGTTCCCCAATCCCCCAACCTTGTGTTGCTTGCCCAATATTGTGCCTCTTTGACTTCAAAGCTTGTTTTCTGCTGAAATCAGCTGAGTTGCACACACACAAAAATGAACTATTAGGAGGAAAACGTGGAAAAAGAATGCTGTGCAGCTAGAGGGTCTAAATAATCGCTTAAAAAACCTTGCTGCCAATCACTATAGCAACTCTCAGAATAATACCAGGTTTAATTATGACTTTTCATCTTATAAAAGAGATAAACTTGAACTAAGCAAAGCACTGAAACATAGATATGGTATCACTGGAGTTAAATTTGATAGAAAATGGAATTCATAGAACAAAGAAGCAGACATTCAGGTTCATAAAAATCCTGGGTTTATTTAAAAATTAAAATTATTGAGCAGAGAGATCATTTAGTGGGTAAGGCACTTAGCATGCATGCTGCACACCCAGGTTCAATCGCAGCCCCTCCAGATGGTCCCTCAAACCCAGCCAGGAGAGAACCCTGAGTGGAGAGTTAGGAGTAAGCCCTCCACACAGCCAGGTGGGGCCCCCAAACAGAACAAATTCAAGGTATCTGTAGGGTTTTAACTCTAATTCTGTACAGTTACTAAGATAATATTGGGCAGGTATTTATGACTGAACAGTTACTGAGAATATTATTAAATATTTGCCAGCTTTTGAAAATGAACAGATAGATAAGCTGTCACTAACTGATTTAGGTGCATTGTGGGCAGGCATCAAGACTGAAGGTGGATTGTCACAGTCTCAGTCACCTGGACAGACGGGATTTCTCAGCTATGGCACAAGCTTTGGCACGCCTCAACCTGGACAGGCACCGTACAGCTACCAGATGCAAGGTCTGTATGTACACAAATCATGCTTCTTTTTTTAATCCTGTGGACTGACATTTTCCTTCTAAAGAAGAATTTCACGTTCTGTGTAAATGGTGAAGAGCTTTGCAAAGGGGAGTGGCTTAGAGCAAGGTTGCTTCATTCTCATGTATACATTCAAGCCTTCAATGGGCATATTTATATAACATCTAAATATCATTTATGTAATAATAGACTAGATAATTCCTAATGTTCTTTTCAAAAAGTTGGAAAATTTGTGAAGTTCACATTTCCTACATTCTTAAGGTCAATGAGAGAAGAGATTGTAGTGTGGTATTTGCTGAAAAATAAAATGGAAAACTTTGGCACTAGCATAGGCATCCAACATTTCTAAAAGTGCTTTTTCCTCCATTTTCATCATCACAACTTTAGAACTAGAATATGCTGTTTGTATTGACTAAATGAGCACGGACTGCTGCTCTGATTCCCAGAGCCTGGAACTGGATTCTGGTTTAGAAACTAGAAATAAGTCAAAGGGAATGGCAGCTGAAAGTTGACATTATTGCTGTTTTCAGGAACACATAAGCATATTATTATCATGCAAACATGCCTGTAAAATGTGTGAAAATGGTGCTTGCAAAATGAAAGCAATCTAACATATGTTTCTTACCACGGATCAGTTTAAAAATAAATAAGGACTAAAACCAGGAGTTCTTAATGCTTGTGACCAAAGTTTAATGTCTTCCCCAGATTCAGCTCTCATTAAATAGACCCATATAATTTTGTTCTTGAGGAACTACAAGATCCTCATGTCCTTGTCTAGTGATGTAAGAAAGTTTTCACCAATGCCCAGTCTCTTTGAGGACATTTTAAAGGTCAAGAGTCAGACTTATTTTTGCTTTTACAGGGTTGGTTGGGGCCACACCTGAAGATGTCAGGGCTATTCCAAGCTCTGTGCTCAGGGTTCATTCCCAGCAGTGCTCTGGAACCTTGTAGTGCCAGGGATGGAGCAGGGGTACACAAGGCAGAGGGAGACTACTTGCTCTATTATCTCTCCTACCCCAAGATTCTAACTTTATAGGAAGTAAAGGGATGGATAGGCGAAGGAACTGCAACATGAAATGACTTATATAGGATGTATTGATATCATTTATTCAGCTAGTTTTAGAGATGTCACTTAAATTTTTTTATTTCTTGTCTTGGGGCCACGGTTGGCAATGCTCAGGGATCACTTATAAAGATTTTCATCTGGAAGGCTGGAGTGATAGTACAGTAGGTAGAGTACTTACTTTGCATGCCGCCAACCAGCGTTCAATCCCAAGTGTCTCATTAGGAAGGGAATGAGAGAGGGAATGAGGGAGAGAAGGAAAAGAAAGGAAAGAGAGGTCAGTGGCAGAATGAAAGACATGTCAAGCATAAGGACTCTCATTCTCTGAATTCAGGGAAACAAATTTGGAATTTAGAGTGCTAAATGTTTCGGTTGGTTTACTGTTGTACTGAGTTCATACTAGTAAATGGAAGCACTTGAAGGCGAAATTGAGGTACAGAATGCCTCTCTGACTGTTTTATTGCCCTGAGAACAACAAGGAGGTAGCTGAACAGTCCTGTCTTGGTGCACCGAGGTGACAGAATTTGCTGGGATAGGAGGAACTGCACAGAGTCACATGTACATACCCTGAGTGCATAGGAAACTCCCCATTGTTTATTTTCAGTTAGGCTTGTTGCTCTTGCTTAGGGAAGACAATAGTGCAAATCTGAATTTCCTTTTTGGATGTAATATCATTTGTTCTGGTGGGAAGACTGAGGTCCAGACTAGCTGTGGAAGCCTAAATTAGGGCAGAGGTTTGTTTCAGGATTCAATCTAAGTTCTGTACTTCACTTATCTGGGGTTCAGTGTGAAGTAGGGTCTTAAATTAATCCAACGGGGAAATAACCCTCACTTCCTACAGACCTGCCTATCTGTTGCTTTTCAACTATATTTTGAGTATTTCCACTTATTATTTATTTGGTAGCTCAAAGCTGCTTAGCAAAATGCAGTTTTTCATTATCTATATAAGAGGTATATCTAAGAGGGAAATATCAAACCCCGAAACATTGGGTTTTCAGAAAATAATTGTTATAAGGCATTTGAAATTTGTACATTTTTTGTGTGTGACATGGTGTGACATATCTGAGATTGAATACTAGCTAATACAATTTTCACTGATCAAAATTTCTCTTGAAATTCCCTTTGCTAATTTACCCATTTTTTTAAATTTTAGTTGTAGATTTTTTTTCTTTTTGGAATTTTAGGGCAATTTTTGCTTTTTGATTTTCTTAAATTGTATTTACTATATTTTCTTAAATTGTATTTTCTTAAATATTAAAAAGTAATGTTCTTTTTCAGTCATTTTAACATATTGTGTTATTTCAAGAGAGAAGGCTTGAAAATGATGTGGACCCTTTTTGATATCTAGTTATAGGATTATTTCATCAATGATCAGTGCCAGTTTTGTTATCTATTAGCCCTTTTTTTGGTTACAATATTTAGATATAGGGCAAAAAAGATAAAAATACATGCTTTGCCATCTTTATAAAACAAGTTAAAAATCTCTTTGGAATATACAATCTATCATTGGCCTAGAAAGGAAACCTTTGTAATTTAAAATCTTTCTTGCAAGAAAAGGGAGAAAATTTGGTTTTAAGTAGCCCATCTGGCCTTCAGAGACATTTCCCTGGGGAGCAGGCTAACTGCTGCCACATAGATCCCTCCCGATGATGGACATAGCCTATGGCAAAGAGGCCAGCGAAGGAAAGCAAATGGACTTCTGTGAAAATACACGTGGGACAAATAGCATCCTGCTTGCTGAGTAAGTGCTAGAAAATGCTCCCAAACACAGGCAGTACAGACAGGCCCCAGCAGGTTCCAGCATTCTTAGTTGGCTGGGATTCTGGTTTTTAATGTGAGTCCTTGTTCTCTGTGAAGTAGACCTTTGACCTCCATGATACCCTTTTTATTTTTCTTTTACGTTTTTTGAAGTGATAGCGAGGCAGTGTTCTCCAGGTTAAATCGCACACTCAAGTTGGGTTTACGACTTTCAATCAAGTGACACATCAGCAGATTGGGTTCTTCTTAACTATGCAAATGCGCAGAGATGGAGTCATCCAGGCTCCCGGAGACTTGGGGAAGTTTTTGAATGGCAGTTGCTCAGCATTTATAGAACTGTGTGGCCCACACGGGATCTTCTAGCGAGACTGTTTCTTATTTGTTACGGTGGGAGAGACCACCGCCCTTTCTCCAGAGGAAACCCTGGCAGCAACTTGAGGAAAACAGAATCTTTGGGGTACCTGTGCTGTCCCTGGATGATTTTTATCAGACATGCCTTTTAAATTGTATTTTAGACTAAAAAGAATTACAGCCTTTTAGAAATGAGATTGTTTCGTTCCAAATAGCATATTAAATTTCTCAGTTGTTCATTTCTTTACCTTTTGTGTGTCTGTGATGTTTATTGTAACCAGAAATTAATACATCTTCAAAATATGGCATTCCCTTTACTGTAGCGCAATCAGAACAGCTCAGAGGTAGATTTGGCTTGGTGGATTATAAAGCAGTGCCCTCGAAATGAGGACTAACGACCATTCCCTGACCGGATTCCTTAGACTCGGAAATTACCATTCATTTTACCTCTTAGAAAATGACATTTGCGTCAGTTGCCTCATGAACTGATTTTGGAAATAACCTGAAACATTATGCTAATATTTGAGGTAAAACAGTAGGCACTTGAAAAGCCTGATTCTGTCTACTCAAACAATTTACTATTTTGTTAGGGTGTCCATGTGGTACATAGATATGACATCCTTTTGCTATTTCTGAACCCAGTGGTATTCATGTCTAAAATAAGTGAGATTTATGAGCTACTTAGAATCTTTGATGCTTAATCAACATAAAATTTTATTTGATTTAAAACTTACTGGATTTTAATTTTAGAGCTTCGGAAATGTTTTAAATCTTTCCAGAGATGCTTTTAAGTTCTGCATTTAATTTTCCTCAAATAATTTAAATCAGAAACAGTGATTTGAATCTGTTTTTCAAGATCAGCCTTTTACACCATCCAGCTTTTATTTTAAAATTAAAGTGTGTGTCTTGGATAAAATGTAAGAAACACGCTCAATTATTATTCCTTTTCTTTCCCCACTCTTTGCGCTCTTCTCTTTTTTGTTGCTGAACAAATAAGGAAGTTAATAGACTTTTTTAATTTGCTTTTATTTACTGTCAGTCTTCAAGTTGTCCTTCTGACTGTGTCACACATATACATCACAACAAAGGCAAGTTCTAGAATGGTGTCCTCCTCAATAATGGTTGGTTCTTAATACCTTTTGTCTAATACCATTTTTCTCTCACTTGTCACACTAGACTAAAATTAAAATTCTCCAACCCTGGTTTGTTTTTCACTTGAGCCACATGAAACCCTTCACTGGTATGAAGCAGCCAAGGACTCTCCATTAGTGTATGTGATAGACAGGATAATTAGAACACATGAATTTGAGGAACTAATTAATGGTCAAGATGAAAACAAGACTAATGAATATTTGTATAGTGGTGTTCTAGTGAATAGCTAAATTACAAACTTTGTCAGATGGAATTCCAAGAAGGAAAAAATCAGGGCAGAAGATTGTCAAGGAAAGCTTATTGGACAAATAGAATTTGACCCAGGTCTCAGGTTTGGGAAATGAGAACTGAGTGAGGAAAGCGTTCAGTGAGAGGATCAAGAATAAGGAAAATGAGTTTCAGGAAAGCAGTGACATATCTTGAATTTAAGTCATGAACTATGGGTAGGGATATCTGGCAAATAGATTAGTGAATATCTTAAACTTTCCTCAATACCTCATTCCTTTATTCTATGCCTCAAATCCCAACCTCAGTCTCAAGAGATAACATAAGAGGAAAGGCACTGATCAGTCTGACATGAGACTGATCCCTGACATTAAAGAGGGTCATCTGAGCACTGCCAGAAGTGAATGCCTGAATGCCACTGGGTGAACAAGCA